GCCGTCCTGAGGCAGGTAATCCTGAGTATGTTAAGAGAGCTAGCTAAGCATGAGCCTGAAGCAAGTCTGCAAGCATTTGCTCCAGGGTTTCTGCTTCAGGTTCCTTTCTGGACTTCCCTTTATGATCTACCGGGACCTGGAAACACAAGATGAAATAAACCCTTTCCTCCTCTAAATTGCTTGTGGTCAGTGTTTCATCACAGCAATAAAAACAAACTCTAGAGTTGACCTAGACAAGCATTTGTCTCTTTAAAAAGGTAAAATCAAAAATATTGCAACTGACAAAGTTAAAAGAATGAAACTAAAAGATCTCAAGAAAAACACGTTTCTATGAGAAAGGAGGGAAGAAATATGAAACCCAAGATGAGACAGAGAACATTCTGAACCAATCAATAGTTAGGAAACATAAAGGGAAAACTGCCTTAAATTCGAGCTGCTGTGAGCTACTTAGCATGAAGTAGATACATCAGATCCCTGTTTTTTTGTTCTTTGGTTGGTTGGTTTTGGTTTTTTGAGACAGGGTTTCTCTGTGTAGCTTTGGAGCCTATCCTGGCACTCCCTCTGGAGACCAGGTTGGCCTCGAACTCACAGAGATCCGCCTGCATCTGCCTCCCGAGTGCTGGGATTAAAGGCGTGCGCCACCAACATCCGGCTCTAGATCCCTAGTTTTAATACAAAGAACAGGAGTGGATTGTCGATTTTTCTAACCTTTGCTATGAGATGGACTTTCAAACACTAGGTGTTAGGGCTGAGGATGCAGTGTAGGTGATGCGATCACAAGGTCCTGGGTCTGATTCCAGCACAGCATAAACATGGGAGTGGCCTGTGATTCCCTACACTTGAGAAATAAAGGCCGGAAGATCAGAAGTTGGCTCGGTGGTTAAGAGAGCAAACTGCTGTTCCAGAAGGCAGGAGTTTGATTCCCAGAACCATGTCTGGCAGCTCACAACTGCCTACAACTCCAGCTCCATGGGGATCCAATTGACACCTCTGGCCTCTTCAGACAAACACAAGCATACAAAAAGTGCCGACAGATAACAATTAGACTTTGTAATGTTTCAGGATTTTACTTTTTCCTCCATCTAGATCACCCAGCCAGACACATGGGAAATGTCCAACCCCTTTTGGCCCATTGGCCGGTGACTGACACTGAGGAAGGAGACAGAGCACAGGAGATACTGACAACAGAAGTTTGCTTCTCCACAGCCTTAAAAAGACATGCAAAAATGCAGGAAGTCCTGGTAGCCCAAGAGCCTCATTTAAGTCATCTCACCAAGAGAGGAACACAAATAAGAGTTACTCGTCAAACGTTAAAATATGTATGTGGTGGGACTGGGACAAAGTATTTGCATAACACATTTGATAAATGCAAATTAAAACCACAGTGACATGCTGTTAGCCATTACAGTGACTAAACGTTTCTTTCATTTTGCAAGAGTCAGCTCATTTTTATCTCAATAATAGAACTTGAAAGTCACAGCAGGGACAAGGCAACAGTTTGCGTCAACAAATTATCATACAGAACACAAAATGAAGGTGGAGCAAGGGGCCATGGCAAATTTAAGAGATTGAGATCAGCAGAGAAAGCCAAGCACCAAAGCCAGATCCTGGGACTCCAGTGCCCAGGATGATGTCCTGGAGAATTCATGATTTGTCACGGTGGCCGAATCTGTGCAAGTACTGAGTGAGGCTCTGTCTACACAGGCCACCATTGATATCAAGACACTGCCCACATTTCTTGACTCATTGCCTCCTATGTCTGTAAAGCCGGAACAACTAAAGCCTTTTCTCCCATGCTTTGACTTTGACATCCTTTTTACCCTTGGTCAGGAAAAAGCTCTGTTTTTTAAGGAAAAGTGTAATTATTGGGGCCTACTGAGGCAGCCCAGGATAACCAACTTTAGAGTCAACTGACAGGTAACTTAAATCATGTCTGCATCTTGATTCTCCTGTTTGTTGTCTTGGTTTTTTGTTTGTTTGTTTTTCTCTGTAATATGATATCACTGGAATGTCACCAGGGGGAAGGAGTCTAAAGATCAGGAAGTATGACACTTGGTAGTCTATATGCCTTTTATACCATCACCTAGCCCCCAAAAGTAGAAAGAAAACAAAAATTAAAATACACTAATTGAATTCAGTACTATTGTTTTTCTTTTGAGGTCTCACTATGTAGACCAGGATGGCCTCACAGAGATCTGCCTACCTCTGTCTCATGAATGCCTAAAGGCATGTGCCACCATGCCTGGCAAATACTACTACCTTTTAAAATCATGTGCATTGCTTTTGTAATTTATTTTATGAGTGTTTTGCCTGAATGTGTGTATAGCCACCATGTGAGTGTCTGGTGCATGTCAGATTCCCTAACTAAAGTTAGGGATGGTTGTGATTCACTATGTGGGTACTGGGAACTGGGAACCAACCTAGGTCCTCTGTAAGAGCAATAAGTGTTCTTAGCCACTGAGCCAATATGAGTTCAATATGAGAAGGCTCTATTTACCTAGTTTTTATTTATTTATCTCGAGCCAGGGTTTCTCTGTGTACCCTGGGCTGTCCTAGAACTCACTCAGTAAAACAGGCTAGCCTTGAACTTAAGACATGCCTGCCTCTGCCTCCCAACTGCTGGGGTCAAAGGCATGCGTCACTATGCCCAGAAAAATTTCACACATATTAACTCTTTTCTAGTGACAGCATCCTTTCTGTTTATATTTTTTAAAGAGTACACCAACATTAGGGAATTTTTATTTTTCAAGAATGTGGCTGCCGGATGGTGGGTGGCACACGCCCTTAATCCCAGCACTCAGGAGGCAGAGGCAGGCGGATCTCTGTGAGTTCAAGATCAGCTGGTCTACAAGAGCTAGTTCCAGGGCAGCCTCCAAAGCCACAGAGAAACCCTGTCTCCAACCAACGCACCCACCCACCCCAAAAAAATAATGTGGCCAAAGTAGATGGCTCAGCAGGTAAAATTATTTGCTGCACCAACTTGAGAAGCAGAGTTCAGATCCCTAGCACCCAAACAGATGCTGGGTGAGCATGGCAACCCACCAATAATCCCAACACAGAGGCAGGATAGGGCTGCTGGGATCAGAGCAAGCTAGCTAGATTAACCAAACTAGCAAGATCTGAGTTTAACTTAGAGACTCTGCCTCAGTAAGTAAAGTTGGATGATTGAGGAAGACACCCAACATCAAATTCTGGCTTACACACATATATAAACACACATACACACTAAACACACACAAAGGAAAATAAATGCAAACATTAAACTTGCTATATAAAGAAATGCTGGCAGCATACAGATTGATCTCTCCCACTATTGGCCAAAACCTGTAATTTTAACTTCCTCGAATAAAAGTGTGCACTTTCAAATATTTGTAATACAGGCCTATCAATGGGTCTGAGTAACTTTCAAAATGGTATGCAGTTACAGATTTAACTAATCACAAAAAAAATAAAAAAATAAAAATAAAAATACGAACCGGGCTGGGGAAGAGGCTACAGAGTACTTGGGCCAGCATTAGTCAAGGCTGTCAATGTAACAAAAAAACAAGCAAAGGGCCAGCAAAATGGCTCAACAAAAAAACACACCTGCTGCAGGGAACCATGGAGTTGGCCTGGAGAGGCATTCATCATATGTTTTCAGGTTAGAGTCTATGGCTCCTGGGGCACCCTGTGCCTTCCAGTTCCTGAGAGACTGGCACACTCCCTCAGACAGTGAAGCATTCAGGCCACTTTGTGTTTCTGTTCCCTCAGAAGTCAAGGAAGCATGGAAACTTAACAGGACAACTGGTCTCAGACATTAATCTTGTGTATCCTGTATAGCTTGCAAATTTCATCATACCCTGGCAATTGTCATTATATTCTGTTTCTGATAAAGGTATAAGAAGTCTGATTGTTCTCGACGGGCGTTGGTGGCGCACGCCTTTAATCCCAGCACTCAGGAAGCAGAGGCAGGCGGATCTCTGTGAGTTTGAGGCCAGCCTGGTCTCCAGAGCAAGTGCCAGGATAGGCTCCAAAGCTACACAGAGAAACCCTGTCTCGAAAAACCAAAAAAAAAAAAAAAAAAAAAAAAAAAAAAAAAAAAAGTCTGATTGTTCTCAATAAAATTGTCACAGCCTCAGTTGTGCCATGGCCCCTCCAACCAGCCTGATTTAATTCCTCACAACCATATCAGATGATATTGGCCCCAGTAAGAAAACACTGGCACTTACAATCTGCTCCTGTTCCTGTGCCATGGCACACCCATAGGCACAGACACACACTCACAATTGACAGACAGACAAGGAAACAGAGCTAGCAAGATGGACCAGCAGGTAAAGTAGTCACTCACTGCCAATAATTTGGGCCTGATGACCCAAGGTTGATCCCTGGAACCCAAATAAAAGCAGATCTCTGCATGTGCAACCACACAAATCAAAAAGTAAGAAATTTGAAGAAAGACTGGGGAGACACAAGAAGCAGGAATAATACTCTGGATTAGCTGGAAAAGGTTATTAATGGAAAAAGTAGAGAAATTCAAATAAAAACTTTACACTCAGTAACACTTATTAATGTCAGTTCCTGGTAACCCTGAAACGTCAGTCATGGGAGACTCTGTGAGAAGGACCCAAAAGCACTTTTCTATAACTTAGTACTTTTCTGAAAGTTTATTTTTAACATGCTACAAGACTGAGTTTATTATTCTGGAGAAAACATCCTGCAGACTTTGTATCTTAGAAGAGATCTACACCGCAGAATGCTGTAAGAAGCCTGGGCCGAGGCTTTCTGTTGCCTTCCTGAACATTCTAAGTATTCCAAATATACCACCTACACCTTCTCACCAAAAAAAAAAAAAGTAATAATAATTTAGCCAGGCACAGGAGGAGAAAGGGACAGGAAGCTACTGTTCCATGTACATGATGTTCCAGGCTGAGAACATTATTACAAAGTTCTGGAGGCAAATGATGGTAATGGCTGTGCAACACTTTGAATATATTCAATGCCACTGAGCAACACACTGAAAAGCAAGTTAAAATGGGAAACTTTATATTATGTATATTTCACAACTTAAAGGAAAGGGTACAAATACATACCATAGCATAGATAAAATTTAAATAACATTATCTAAATTTTGTCATACACAGGAAAGTCTGTGCCTGATTGCATGGTTCTCCAGTCACAGGGCAAGAGCAAAGGCAAAACTGTAAAACAGGAAAGAAGCTGACCAAAGACCTTTATCCTGGTTTTCCTCCATCACTGAGCCACTTATGCAATACAGTCCTTTCATCTCTGCCCCAAGCAGCATCAGCTACATCCAGGCCTGAACTGGAAGACAGACTCGAATAATGGAAGACTTTGTGGAGAATGTATCAGAGGTTTCTTCGTCTTGTAGCTTGGGTAAAGTAGAACAAGAAGATTTGTATGCACACGGACTCTCCAAAGCTGAGGCTTACACAGGGAAAGATGAAGGATACAGCAAAGGCTCACAAAATCATCCAGCTCCGCAATTAATCCAAAGTCCCTAAGAACAAAGGGCAATGTGTAAATCGAGGTGTCAGTCTGCGGGAGTGTCACAAACTGGGCGAAAGTAAAGCACACCGGGTGTTGCCGGTAACAGCAATCCCAACCTGAGGAATACCTATCCCAAAGACCCAGGGGGGAGATGTCATTAGAGAGGGTAGTCAATTGGGAATTAAGCCTACCAATGCACAGAACTGAGGTTAGAGCTGGAAAAGAGCTAAAGAATTGATGCATTACTCAGTGAACATTAAAAAATAATATAGGGTCTCTAAGCAAAGCATTTATAAGTTTAAAAGACTCCCTTTTAATTACATGTGGGTTTTTTGGTTTTTGGTTTTTTTTTTTTTTTTGTGACTGTGTGTATACAATACCCATAGAGACCAAAAGAAGGCATCAAGATCCCCTGGAGCTGGAGTTACAGGAGGCTGTGAGCCACCAATGTGAGTGCCGGAACTGAGCTGGGACCCTCTGCTATCATAGTCTCAACTGCTGAGCCATCTCTCCAGTCCATCTAATCTGTTTTCAGAAAATCCCAATTTATATTGAGCACCTGAGCTCACAAGGTTGCATAACCTCCAAACTTCTATTCAAAAGAGAAAAAGCTTTTAAAAAGACAGAGAACAAAGATCTACTAGCAATTGGGCAATTTCAACAATAAAAAAGAATGAATTATCAACATCTCACTGAAGCAGATTTATAAATAAAGCAAAAACCAACTGAGCCTAGTAGAGAGGGCTGCAAGAGAGGCGGCACTATTCCCACCCTAGAACCAGCAGGTGCTACACCAATGGTTCTCAACCTATGGGTTGTGACCCCTTTGGCAAATCCCAATCTCCAAATATATTTAATTACAATTCATAACAGTACAAAATTACAGTTATAAAGCAACAGTGAAAATAATTTTATGGTTGGGGGGTCACCACAACATGAAGAACTACATTAAAGGGTCGCAGCATTAGGAAGGTTGAGAACCACTAAGCTAGACCCAGTTACCAGGCCTGACAGAAAGAGACGAAAGCGAAAAGAAGCTAATGACCCACATGACACGTGCTTGCCTCCCCACATGCCTCTTACAGTCCTCCCTATATGCAGAAGTCAGGGATTTAAACATATATGGAGAAGAAAGAAAAAAGTCACAGGCGTTTCTCTAAAACATCCAAGTGCACAGCCTATCTGGGAACACGAGAGCAGCCTCCAGCAATCACACACCCAGGAAGCATTCTGCATTCTGCATTCTGAATTCTGGCCTGTGGGTCTCCACATGACATCCACTCCCTCACCTATTCACCCTGGAGTGAAGCTGCAAAGCAACAACCACACCACTTTACAGACACACACCTTCCAAAACAGTTTCATTATCCTCTCATATTTGCACAGAAGAAAAAGTACTGAACCGAAGGAGCCTACGCAGTACAAGGAGAGGCCAAAGTTATCTTTTAATCCTGTAATTAAGCATAATTCAGAGGAATAACATTAGAAAAATCAAACCAGAGACACTTCTAACAAAAGAATCATAACTTTCTTTGGGGTTTTGTGTTGCTGTTTGAGGCAGTATGTCACTGGTCAGGCTGGACTGGAGCTCCTTTTGTAGCACAGGCTAGCCTCAAACTTAAAATCCTCCTGCCTCAGTTTCCTAAAGACTGGGATTTACAGGATAAGCCACCATACCTGGCAACTTTGGCAAATCTCTGATGAGAACAAGGAATAAAGCTAAACTCATTTTAAAATAATTTCTCAATAATTGAAAATGAATCAACAGGCAAATCTACAACCTAGAGAGGGCAAAGTCACAAAGTAAGGCCAGCCTCTAAAGTTATGGTGGCCCTGAAGGTATCTACCAATCTGAGAGAGGGTTGAGAAGGGCTGTTTGGCAGGCTGAGGGAAACAATAGTCAAACCTCAGAGTCTGGTCCAAATGGGAAGGTGGAATTAAGTGGGAGTCTCAAAATCGCTACTAGAAATAACAACAGTCCATCTATAAATTAAATACTATAGGCTGTCACAACGTAATATTAAACTTTTACATACCTAACCACATGGTCTTATAAACAGAACCAGAATTATAAGTGAAAATAACCTGCAGTTGTGATTGGAGAAATTAACAGGCAATTCTTACTTGGTAACTTATAAAACAAGTAAACAAAACAGAATTATCTGCACAGTATCCCTTGACCTTGTACCTAGCAACTAGAATACTCCTCTTCAAGCATACATAAAACACTGCCAAAGATGACCATAGACTGGGCTACAAAGCAAAGTGGGCAACTAACAGAAGTTATTTTTAATTCAAATAGGTAAAAAGACAAAGATCTACAACTTAAAAGAGAATACTCAAAAAATCTAGACTTGAAGCAGACACAGGAAAGGTATCTTTAAAAGGGATTCAAAAAGAACATATAAAGAGTGTCGGGGCACAGGTTGACACAGGGACGCAGAATAGAGTGAAAGAGTAAGCAAAGATTATTATTATTATTACTATTTTATTATTTACTAGCACTTAGGTGGTGATTGAAAAAGAAAAGGAATTCAAGGTCACTCTCAAGCTACACGGTGAAGAGCTTAGCTACATGAGATCCCGTCTTTAAAAGTTAGGAACTTTGGGCAGAGAGGTCATTCCATGATTAAGAGTGCTTGCTACGGGGCTGGAGAGATGGTTCAGAGGTTAAGAGCACTGACTGCTCTTCCAGAGGTCCTGAGTTCAATTCCCAGCAACCACATGGTGGCTCACAACCATCCGTTATGAGACCTGGTGCCCTCTTCTGGTGTGCAGATATGCATGGACGCAGAATGTTGTATACATAATAAATAAATAAACTCTTTAAAAAAAAAAAAAAAAAAAAAAAAAAAAAAAGAGTGCTTGCTGCTCTTCCAGAGGACCTGAGTTAGTTCACAGAACCCAGTTTAGCAGCTCACAACCACCTGCACAGGGGTCTGGATGCCCTCTTCTGGCCCCTGTGGGTACCTGCACACATGTATCATATACTCACACACAAAAAAACACACATACATATAAATAAAAGTTAATCTTTAAAAACATTTACAAATTGTTTCTAATTACTAACATTATGATAAGGGGCAAGACTGATATTTAGGGATGAAGATTCAAGTGGGATTCAAACTCTAAATCCAGCTAACCCCACTAGTGTTTTTTATACTCCTTCCTTCTTTTAAGCTATCAGTTTCCCAGTGGAAACTCTAATTCCCAAGAATGGGAAATTATTTTTTTTCCATAAAAATTGGAAGCAAGGAGAACTGTTCCCATGTATACTGAGGAGAACCAGGCACCTGTCTTTATACGGTTTGAACTCACATCATCTATCTGCAGGGGAATGATTTGTGGAGACGATGAACTCACCTTCTAGAAAAGCAAATTCATCCACAGCTTCTATTGCATTATCTGAAAAACAAGGGAAAAGGATATTTAATTAGCTCTTGTCATTTGTACAGCAGACCCAAAACTGCACAATCCACTTAATACCACGACATGGGGTTTTATGCAAATTATATTATTTATAAAATATATCCCTTGATGTCATGAGATCCAATTTTGCACTATTAATTCTTACATACTCTCTATAAAAGCCCACACAAACGCTGTTCAGTAAGACCTCCTACAGTCTTATTTAATACCTAAATTTACTTTTCATTCCACTGTAAAATGGAATGAGAGAGCATAGAAGAGAGTGACAATCTGAAAAGGCTTCCACATGCCCAAGGGTTACCAGCTAGAAGAATAAATCAAAAACCAAACTTCCCCTTGTCTCAGTGATGCCTTGTGAACCAGCTATAAGAAAGCCTAACTGGTGGGGAGTGGTGGTGCACGCCTTTAATCCCAGCTCTCAGGAGGCAGAAGTAAGTGGATCTCTGTGAGTTCCGGGCCACCCTGACCTACACAGCAAAGCTCTAACCAGACGTTATTACACAGAGAAACCCTGTCTCCAAAAACAGAAACAAACGAAAGAAAGCAAGCCAGCTTAGCCCATGGTTCCCTTGTCCACCCTGAGGTACCACAGTGACTCTACCCACCCAAATCTCTCCTCTGGAGGGTTTTCCTCTTTCCTTGTTGAGCGCAGCAGTAGGCATCTTTTGCAATGGTCTCCACGAACAGCTCCTGCGAAACAAGCAAGCGGAAGAAAGACTGGTTGATTCTAGTCCACTGAGATGGGCGACCCTGTATATAAATGGAGCAAAAAGGGTGAGGGGGGGAACTTATCATACAGTTCTAGAAGCTCAGGTTGCCCCCTTAACTTCATGAAGATACTTCTGCTACCCCTTTCCCGAGCAGGCTAGCTCGTCATTCCCCTGCTGATACTTACAAACCCACCCCCCTCATTCACTAGGGACCCCTCCAAGCTCTGTGTGAGCCACCGGAGACGCAAACTAAAGTTGTGGGGGCCCTCGTGAAGAGGCGAGTGACTCACAAACTCAAAGGACCCTGCAGAGAAGCCTTCCTTGCT